AGTGAGGGAGCTATATATCATAACGGGTGCCTTGGAAAGGAGATTTATGGAAAAGGCTGAAGTATAATCTCACAGGGACATTGCTTCTGAACTGGATTGTAGGGAACAACTGCCTGGTACAAAGCACCTCAGGGAATTCATCTTGAGTACCTATTTGATGGAGAGTCCTTGAGTCAATGTTGAGGAAAGTGTGTTGTGTAAACTTAGTGCAGAAGTTTATGCCCTACAGAAAAAGTTCCAGGTTAGTAAAATTAACCTAATGTGACAACCAAAATTTTAGTTGTAGCAGAATTTGTCTAAAAGGCTGTCTTTGAAATTCTACCCTTTTTAATAATAGAGATATAATAGAGATAAGATCAAATTGATACCCAGACATAAAGGAAAAGAAATATTGTGAAGGAGAGAAGAATTCATTCCCCCTTTTAATCAATCACTAACCACACTCTGTACTTACAAAATCAGAAAGTGCACAAGCAGCTTTTTTCTTTAAAGAGGTAAAAAGTACTCTCCTGGTGTAGATATGTGTATTTTTCTGGATTATTCATTGCATAGAACTCTGTATAATAAAAACAATAGCATAATCAATTTCAATAATCAGATGACCTGATTACATAGAATCTAATTATACAGAAATTTTAAAATTTACATTGATACCATGTTTATGAAACTTAACCAATAATAATAATAGCAATATCATTTCCTCACCAATTACTGCAATCAGAAACTATGCCAGGCATCCTATATACATTTTATCCTTCCCATAACACCTTGAAGATACTGAGGTTTAAGAGGTTAAGAAGCGTCCCCAAGGTCACACACAGCTGAATCTGAGAATCCAACACAGATATTCTGACTCTCAAGCCTTGGCTCTTAACCAATCTGCTATTCTTTTCTGACCCACTAATTAATAGCTCTACATAATGATTCTGCCATTGAGCTACCATTGGTAAAGTTGTGGGATAGAGACTGGATACTTCCTTAATTTAATAAGGGGCAGAAATGGAAAGCAGAAGTGTCAGGATTTTGTACAAGTCCAGTTCTTTAATGTCAGTAGCTCAAATGTAGGACTGCAGGCCTCTGATGTCCAAAGACTGTGACGAACTCATTGGCGACTCAGAGGAAGTGGCTGATCCCGCAGTAATGTAGAGAGGAGGAAGGCTGTGACTGAGTCTGCCAGGAAAGCTGCCCCCAGTCTGTGGACTGTTGCGCAGTAGCAGGGCTTACTATTGGGTGAGATTCAAGAGTGGTGTTCCATCGGTCAGAACAAAACAGAGAAGTAAAAGTTCAACTGCAGGAACAAGTCTCCAGGGAGGAGGAGGAAATGCACTTAGAAGTCAACAAAGAATTCTCAAAGTCATCCCCAAAGCAAAGAAAAGTACTCATCAGCAAAGAAAACCTAACGAACAAAACTGGGAACTCAGTGGTCCACCAGAGGTTCTTAGATATGGAAAAACGACTCATTCTAAGCTCCACTCACTAGCTAGGCTAGGGGTGCTATTATATAATAATTGTCTTATGTAGAAATCAGTATGAAACTGAGCCTATGAATGAGCAGATAGGTGATTGGTGAAGACTGGCAGAGTAAGAAATGAAGTCAGGGATGACTAAGACTATATCAACATCCTTCAGAACCCCAAGCAATGGGAGAGACAATAGAAGTACCTCTGATTTATGTAATTCAAAGTAAAAAACGAAAGGAATTTCAGTAGAGTATTGTGCTGGTTTTCCCTGTGATGAAAAAATTATCGAATGTTTTACTAAAATATTATTTTTAAAAATCTTGGTAACCTGATCACATGTCTAATGTTTCTATAGACTAGAAAAAAATTAGGGCCTAATTCACAATATTTGCACTTGGTCTGAAAATGAGTATGCTAGCTGATCCCCTGAAGGTTTCCTAGAAAATAGTTTGTGAACATCAGAACCATCTTTAGAATATATTAAATCTTAGTGATATCCCTGTGGAGTCCCCTGAATGATTGTGCCAGTGGAGACTGGTGACTCTTAATTCCAAGTCCAGAGGAAAGAATGGCAATCAATACGGAAGACTGCAATTAAGAAACACTACTGCTATTAGAATATAAATTGCCACCTTCCTCTGTACCTTTCTTCTTTCCAAAGCCATTGACTGCAGCAGCCTTACTTTTTCCTTTCTTAGAGCCATAGTCTTCCTCAGCCTTGTGCCTGTGATGTAGCCTTTGATAATTCCTGCAATAAAAACCCACTCATGTATGACATTTAGAAGGGAGGAAAGGTTTAATTTGCCTTGGGGCCCTGGAACCATTATAAAAATGCCTTTAATGAGAAATGAAAGGCAAAGAAAATTAAGGGCTCAGAAACGGACTGAACCAAAAAGGATGCCAAATCTCTAGTCATCAGGCTGCTTCTCAATAGTTCTAGATAAAGAGAAGACCATTTAGTGTTGTTGTTGTTTTTCCCAAGAATCCGAATCAGTCTAAAAGCAGTTTCAATTGGAAAAAAAGGAAGAATCAGGAGGTCCAAGATGTAGTCTTGCAGTTTCAATGATCACAGAAAAAAAAAAAAAAAAAAAAAAAAAAAAGTCAAAAGACAGACTTTTGGGATCACTGGAATATAGACATTTAAAGAATAGGACTCTTGTCACTCATATCACAAACATGCCTACAGTTTCAAGAAAATCTCAGCTTTCACTGCGTGGCTCATAATAGCAATAAGAGGCTACACTCTTTCCACAAAATCTGTTCCAATGAGGTATGGCCTGCTCACATTTTCATTTAATGTTCTCTCACTTCCTTCATTTAGCTGTGTCCTATTTCTCATGAGTGGAGTCTTTAGTTATGTACCTTCTTTAGTGTCATGCAGAAGGCAGCCACTTTTCTCTCCAAGCCCCTTTCATTGCGTGGGAGCCAAATATCTGTTTCTGATACTCCCTTAAATTCAGGGACTCTATATAATTTTTGGCAGAGGACATATTCTAAAGGAGAAGGTGAACTTCCATCTCTCCCCACATGTCATTCTGTTTATACCCACTCGTCAGTGCAGTCTATCCAAAAGTTTATGTGGGGAGGAGCTTCCAAAAGAACTTAACTTACAGCGAGGAAAGAAAAATGTTCTTAAGGAAGAGCGATTCCTGAAAATTTATAAGGCATGAAACGGCTTGGCTTATCCTCTACGAAGCCAGGGTCCATGACTGCTGGCAACAGACCCAACTAATTAGTGAGGTCCTCAATCAGACAGCATCAGCATCACTTGAACACTTGCTACAAATGCAGACCCCAGGCCTAGTCCAGGTCTATTGAAAAATAAACTGCAATCCCTGTGTGATTCATATTCACATTCATGTTTGAAGATTACTGGCCTGGAGCAGTGCTTCTCAACCTTCATTGCACGTAGGAGTCAACCAGGCATCTTAAAAACAAATTAATGATGCCTGGGGCCCACCTGCAAACAGTTAATCAGTTTGGGGGTGTGGCCTAGGCACGAGGTTGTTTAAAAACTGGCCAGAAGGTTCTGAGGTGCGTAGAGGAGTGAGAGCCACTGGCATAGAGGCAGAAGAGTCTGTTTCTTAGATTCAGCCGCTCTTTGTTGCAGAGGCAAACTGAGGTTCCTGGAGTTAGAAGCTCTCGTTTGTGGTGACTGCCCTGGTTGCACTGTAAGTACTGGGGGACGTCCCCACGAAAGAAACTTTCTGCCTGGTGCTCTGTAGGTCCCTCCTTCTCTCACCTTCACCAAATAGCTGCTCCTGACCACCCACACCTTGGCAAACCACACCAGTGGCCAATAGCAACTGGTGTTTTAAACATACAAACTTGGAGCCCCATTTGAGACCTCCAGCAAGAGAGTGCATCCGTTTCTGCCTCAGATTCTATAGCATCTGACTTCATTCCCAGGTGTGTCTGATGCACAGCCAGGTTTGGGAGCCCGTGAACGCCACAGTAGGTCTAGCCTTTCGCCACGTGAAGTCATTAAGGATGTGTAAGAATGAATGAACTGTCAAGAGTGTAAAGGTCTGGTGCAGTGCTCCTGTATTAATTATGGGCAAGTGATGTATTGGCAATGATAATGCTTCTCTTGGAAAGGGCAATGAATGGTTCGTCGATTGCTGCATTAGGTCTTTCCCAACTCAAGCCTCGGCTTTTACTCCTTACTGTAGTTTAAAAGCAGCATAGCTTTCACATGAAACAGCCTCTGGATCTTTATTCCCAGGTGAGCCGCATCTTTAACGGAAATACCAATACAGAGAATCTTTCCCTGTTCTTGGCAGGGGTACACCCTTCCCCCAGTATCCCTGTTTGCTTGTGTCAGCATCTAGTAGCCCATGTAGAGTTGTGCATATCTGATACGTAGGAAAAACACAGGGTGAGGATTAAAAAATCATTGCTATATGCCCAAATCCTTTTGCTAAAAGAAAGCTTCCTTTAGTAGAGGGGCAGGAAGTGGGGGAAGAAAGATAGCTGGATTAACAAAGTCAGAGGTGAGAAACGGGTAGGCGAGTTCGGGGTCAGGGTTTTGTCCGCAGATGAGGCGAAGAGGGTTTGAAAGAAAAGTTGCAGCGCCTGTGTGCTCGTGTCATCGATGGGCTGGCTGCGGGAGAGAGCGCTAGCGCGCGGCCAGAACGCACTGCGGGGCCGAGTGCCGACAGGAAATCGAAAAAGCTGCTCAGCGGCAGAGGCTGGGAGGCTCGAAGGGCTCCGCACACGCTTGGTGCTCCAGAAACGCGCCGGCTCTGCCCCGACGCGATCGCCCGGGGAGCCTGGGGGGGCGCGCAGGGGGCCCCGAGGCGTCCAGCGGCCGCGGGGCCGAGCGCGCGTGTGAGCGAGTGCGAGGCTGCGGGCGGGCGAGTGTGCGCGGGAGGGAGGGAGGGAGGGGGAGCGCGCGCGCCGCCCGGGCCCCGGCCCTCCCAGCCTCCCGGCCTCCGCGCCTGCCTCCCGCCCGCGCGCACCGCTGTCCGCCGCCGCCGCCGCCGCTCCCGATCGCGCCGGCGCTGCACGGGAGTCAGCCCGCCGCCGCCGCCGCCTGCTTTGTGCTTCCCACAGAAGATGGGAGCGACCTCTTCCTGATCGGGAGCTGTTTAAAGGAGGGAGTGCGCCGTGTTTCCTACTAGCGCGGAGGATCGGAGAAGAATCCATTCACACTCCCCAAACCAGGTAGGATCTTAGGATGGGCAGGCAGAAGGCATTTGGTCCGAGACCCAGAACTATTTTCCATTTGCTGCTCATAAGGCTACACTTCCTTCTGCTTTGGCAAACGAGCGGCTTCTAAATTTGTGTGTGTGTGTGTGTGTGTGATGTGTGTGTGCGCCTGCACATTTTTCTGGGTGTCCGCGCTCCTCAGAGTGAAATTGCTCGCGCTGGTGCGTCTGGGCGTGAGGGTGCCTGCTTGGCAGTGCAGGCTGCCGGAGGAAGAAAGGGCTGCTAAGGAGAGATGCTGCACCCTGCACCGCGCTGGGCTCTGAGGATTCAGGGCGCGAAGAGGTAAGTCCACCCTGAACGCAGCGCTGCTGGGGATCCAGCCGTCCCCACCCGCTGGACTCTTCTCCACGGCCATCCCTCCTCCCGGTAGGCAATCCCTGGGGTCTTTCCCCAAGGCCACACTTCCGAGCCCCCTCTTTTCCAGCGGGCGTTGGGTGCTCATTCACCACGGACTGCGGAGAGGAGGGAGGTGTGGCGGAACAGAGACAGACGAGGAAGAAATGTAGGGGGTAGCAGGGAGTGGGCTGCAGGGTCCAAGTCTCTGGGCGCTGTGCCTTGGTGTGCTTCGGGGATTCTGCACACACGGGCATCTTTCCCCAAGAGATTGGAAGTGAACTTTGCAGCTGCATTCTCTGCCTCTGGAGCTTTGCTGGCTCTTGGGGGAAATGGTCTGTGTTCTGAGATGTGAAGATATCCTTTTTGGCTCCTCCTTAATGAAGAAGAGGGCGGTCTTATAACTGGACAGCCGGCCAAAGAAAGCAAATCCGCCCAGGCGATGCTCTTGAAAATATAGTATGTGTGCATCCTTGATTCTTTAAAACCACCCCCTGCATCACCCCCCGCCACCCCCCACCACCCCGTGGATTCTGTTGCTGTGTGATGAATGGCTTGGGCTGGCAATTCGTATTTCCCTCTCCAGAGTGGCAGTGGTTGAGTTGAGAGCAAGGGTGATGAAATTTAACAAAGCATTTTTAAAAGAGAGCAATGTGCATGTTGTATGCAGTCACTGGAAAGTCACAGGCATCGTTTTAAAGCCCCTAAAACTGTCTCCTCTGAAGGCGCTCTGTATATCTCCTGCTAGTCAGCTACTAGTGGTTGTGAATATAACAATACAAACTTTGTCCTGCTGGAGGTGTAAAGACTAAAAAGAGAAAAAAAGGATATCAGTGGGAGGTGTAGTGGAAGAAGCTTTTTTAAAAATGACAGATGTGGTGAAGACAGTACAAGCGTCCTGATCATGGAGGAGCCTCTAGCTGAGTAGGTGGAGATTTCTGATCAGATCTGGTTAAAGGCATTGCTGGAGTATCTTCAGATAGGAGCAGTTGAACATACACAATCCGAGACTAGTGCGAAGATTTCCCAAGGGAACGAGGGAGTCACCGGGAGACAATTCTGAAAGTATACCTCTATTTCCCATGCCACCACCATCTCACACAGTCACACACACACACACACACACACACACACACACGGACACACACACGGTTTCTCTTTCTCTCTCAAAGCTACTCCTGCAGCTAGTCAGAAAAAAAGGAAGATGTTTCATTCATTTCAAATGAGAAGACAAAGCCGGAAGAGGGATGATTGGTTTCAGGTTCCTCTTTCAAATCCTGTGTTACTTGGGTTGAGCTCTCTGGGTTTGCTAAACTTGCTTAATTGGGAGGTTAGGCGGGTGTGAAAGCAGGAGGAAGGAAGGGAAAACTAGCTCCATGTTTGGGGCCTTGTGAGTGAGAAGGTGGGGGAGGACCCACTTATTTCTTCAAGAAGCAAGATATGTGCTCTTAGATGGTTTTCGTTTTAAAAATTCTGCCTGCTTGAAGAATTCCATTTGGATCTCAGGCCTCTTTAAGATTTTTCACACCTGCTATAAAAGGAGCCTTGATTTTTTCCCCCTTAAAATGGCTGTTGTCTTTTTAAAAAATGGAATGATTAATTCCTGGAAAAACAGCAACAAAAAAAAACTGGGCAGAGATAAACCATTATGTATTGTTGAGCTGAATCCGGCTGCAAGGGATGTAAGAGTGTCCATGATGATCAGACTTAATCTACTCTGTCTTGAAAGCTTAACAGGGTGAAAGAGGAGAGTAATGAACGAAAATGCCATGAAGGCTGCATTTTCTATTTATTTACCTATCTGTTTACTTTATTATTATATAATGGTTTCTACTGTAATGTTTCAGGTTAAGAACTACATAGCCCTTTTGTTGACCAGGGGAAGAAAAGAACATGGAAGTAAGAGTGCTTTGACTCCCAATAAAATTACTAAAGGAAGGTGAGGTATAGTCAGTATCACCTATAGGACTATTTGTGGGAATTAGGTGAATTGCTCTATTAAGCTTATTATGTTTTGAAGAAAATAACATGTATTCCAAGACAACTTCAGCATGTGTTAAAAAGCTATGTTTAACATGCTTTTGCCAGGCAAAAATAGACTTTTATTTACCTGCAAAATAAATGCATGATTCCTTTCCTCTTGGTATTCAATCTATTTCTTTGACAAAATAAATGATGAGAAAAGCTCTGCAGATCCAAGGAAGTTGCAATTTCCCTTTAAAAAGCAAGTCAAAGCACTCATTTAGCTCATAGATGTGGTTGTCTCAAAGTAAGTGCATTTTGGGACATTCATGTCTGTTTTATTATATTGCAATTCTGTGTGAGTTTTTTCTTCATGATGCCTTTAGGTAGAGGGAGAATAGTTTATCAGTAAGAAAGAGTCTGCCCTAAAAACAAGGAAATAAACAAAATTCAAACTGAAATGTAAATTAAATCAGGAAAAAGAAATGCAGACTCTAAAAGAGGCTGTTAAAGCACGTGTTGCATGTTTTCTATTTCTGTAGTATTTGCCTATGTTGCTTTCAAGTAAATATTGTCACCTTATATTTGCTAAGAATTTAGGAATCAGCATGCTATTATCTCCCTACTCTTCCTGGTCCCTTTATCTTTTTGTTTTTGCCTCCAAGGATAAATGTGTTTTGCTAAACTATTTTCCAAATATCATCCATACTTCTATTAAATCCTTCATCGTAACTTCCCATACCTCATAGTTGGACCACTCCTCATAACCCCTACCAAATGGTCTCCCATCTGACCAAATTCTACTGCTCCCTCTTGTGGCAAACGTGAACCCCTGACTTTCTCTGGATTCCGGAATCCTATCTGAGATCACTTACAGCTCCTTTAGCTGTGTATCACTTTGGCTCTCATTCTCGGTAGTAACGGTGGCTAACAATACCAGTGGAGTTCAATACTAGCTGTTTCCACATTTCTCTTTAAAGGAAGGGATTTCTGTTCCCTAGAGATACAGCTTAGATTTAGTGGAAATAAATGTCAGGTGTTTTTTGACCCACTGGGATGGACTAGATTCCGAGAATGTGAGCTTTCAGCGTCTGCCTTTGAGATTTGGATTTGGATTCAGGACTAGTCCAGTGGGGCCTCATTTAGTGCAGTGGGATTATTTTCAGTTTTCTTTCTTCCTCTTCCAAAATCTTTCTCTTTTTCTCTCTCTGTCTCTCTCTCTCTCTCCCGGCTTCCCCACTCTGTCACCCTCTATGCACACATATATATTACAAAATGCATTTTACGCAATACATATTTTGAAGACTTAAACTAATCAATAATTAGGTTCTCAGCAGTCCTTGTTAATCAAACAGTCCATTTTCTGATGTATTTTTCCAGTGTATTGACTTAACTTCTGAGACAGTTGCTCATCGTCCTTGATGCCTCAAGTGATTTTTGTAGGTTCTCTTTGTGGAGACTGTATTGAACGCTAGGTATTTTATATTTATACTTGTGATTCTCCTCTGATCTGCCCAGCCAAGAGTATATGTAGTAACAAGGCAAAGGTTTAAGTCAATCACGTTTCCGCCTTATCTGAAACTTTCTAGTGAATTTCAGGAGAAGGAAGGGAGCATGTAAAAGGGGAAAATCTCTGGCAGCTGAAGCAAAGAAAATGCTTTTGTGATCAAGGGCAAGTGCATTGTAGGCAGCAGTCTATACAGTGATTTGAGGGTGGGCAAAACATTCCCAGGTTCAAAGCATTTATTCCTTGGCAAACATAGGATCTGAAACTTTCACTATTAGAACCATTCGTTTGAGTAAAGGGATTCTATCTAGTAGACTCTAATAAAATGAAATATTATCCAGGAAGGAGCTGTTGTTAATTCTCACAAATCATTAGCATATGTTCATTTTTTAACTTGGTTTGGTTTATCAGGTCAGTTGGCAGACAGAAAGTCCTGAGGGCCTGGAACACAGGAAAATACAGAGGATGTGAAAGAGGTTTAAAACTAGGTTGCTGCCCAGTTAGTGCACTCAGAGGGCCATTTCGGTGGGGAAGTTTAGGGGACGTGAGTGTCCGGGAATGGGGATATTGATGGATAGAGAATAGCCAGATAAAGACAAACTATCCAAAATTTGGCTGCTAGAGCGAGAAGGGTAATAAAAATTTTGATCCTTTCTTGAAAATTTAGCCATTTTAAGTCCTCTGAGAAATGGGCAAAATATTTTCCCTAGAATGAAATTATGTCTTAAAATCTTAAATGGATTCTACTGCATCATTTTGCAATATATATTAATGCCAGTAACCTAGAAAATGCTAGTGTGCTACCAATTTAGACAAATGGCTTCTTACATATGTAATAGATCTAGGAAACTAGATGTAAATATTAAAGATCATCTTAATTTTTTTAAAAGACAAAGAGTAATTACTTTGTTGATATCATTGCATGGGCAGTCAGAATAATTAATAATTTCCTGGTTGGATGCAATGTGAGAGGAAGTCAAACAGACAAGGTAGTGATTCAGCAATTTATTTCACCCAACCATGATATTTACGGAGCACTCAGTGTACACAAGGCCCTGTGCTTGGCTTTTCAAAGAATGCAAATGATGAAGAAAAGTTAGTAACATTTGTTGAGCACTTTTTATGTGCCAGGGACTAGTCTGAATGCTTTACA